ACCTGAAGGACCAGGTGATGGGCAGAACATCTTCTGTCGGCTTCCCCCAACTTGACATCCTTTAGACATATTGAACCTCAGTTTCTGTACCCCATAGCAAGCACAGTCAAATTTGCAGTCAGTGTATACTGACTGATGTGGTATGATTGCATTTGATTTATGACCTTCTAGTTAACAAGTTCCCAATCCTACTGTGAGACTATAGCAGTTATCTTGGGGCTAGAAATTTCTAGGCTTTGGTGTAAATTAAAATTGGGTTGGATGTATCTAAAGAATCCTTGAGCATTTGTTTCAAAGAATGTAGGCAAGGCAGAAGATATATGATGGGCATGGGACAGTATGATGGAAGCCAGAGGGCAAGCCGTTCCAAGGGAAGACACCCCTGATGTGTTATACCGGTGGTGTGTTCCGGCCCTCTGGGCTCAAGCCCAGACCCTGGTCATCAGACCTACAGAGGCCCGGGCTTTTGGCTGCTGCTGATGAATGCCAGGTCAGTCAATAATAAACTCCCCCTTATTCATGACCTTATTTGGGAGGAGCAAGCTGACCTGGCATGCATTACCGAGACCTGACTGACACCCGAAGGGGGTGTTGCCCTTTTGGAATTATGTCCAGCCCGGTTTAGGGTTTGGCACCAACCGAGACCCCAAGGTAGGGGAGGGGGTGTGGCAGTGGTCATTCGGGAATCTCTGCTGGCCTTCAGGGGCTCTGCTCCACAAGTTGCTGGATGTGAGACCCCGTTCCTGAGGTTGGGCACATGGGATCAGTTGGGAGTTTTGCTTCTGTACCAGCCTCCCTGCTGTGTAGCAACTTCCCTGCCTCAATCTAAACTCCCCAAGCCAGCAAGCAAACACTGCGAATTCCTTATGGTGGTGCCAGTCTCATCCTCTTCACCTTCCTAAGCTCTTTCTGGGAGCTAAGGAAATCCTTGTCTCCCCGAGCGCGGCCTTCACCAAACCATTCCATCACAATTTTAGATCCCTGTCCCTCCTGGTTGGTTAAAGCTGCCAAGGAGGTGACTTTAGGGTGGGTACTGGCAGTGGTCAATTCATCCTTGCAGGAGGGGGTATTCCTGAAGCCTTTTAAAGAGGATTTGGTCCACCCCCTCCTCAAGAAACCATTGCTAGATCTCACCCTTCTGGACAATTTTCATCCAGTTTCCCACCTTTTAGGAAAGGTGGTGGAAAAGCTAGTCGTACAGCAACTTCAGAGGATCCTGGAGGAAATGGATTATCTGGATCCCTATCAGACAGGTTTCAGGCCCGGTTATGGGACAGAAACAGCATTGGTCACACTTTTAGATGATCTCTGGCGAGAGCGGGATGGGAGTAGTGCATCCATCCTTGCTCTTCTTGACCTCTCGATGGCTTTTGATACCATCGACCATGGTATCCTTTTGGGTCGGCTGCAGGAGCTGGGGCTGGGTGGCACAGTTCTACGCTGGTTCAGCTCCTTTCTCCAAGGCTGAGCCCAATCAGTGTTGATAGGGAGCAAGAGGTCCAACCCACGGCCCCTACTTTGTGGGTTATCTCAGGGTTCGATGCTCTTGCCGCTCCTGTTTAACATCTACATGAAACCGTTGGATGAGATCATCCGGCACCATGGGATGAGGTATCATCAGTATGCTGATGATACTCAACTATATATCTCCATCCCTAGTGACCTAAGCGATGCTGTGGCTACCCTTTCACGGTGCCTGGATGGGGGCCAACAGGCTTCAACTGAACCCTGGTAAGACGGAGTGGCTGTGGGTACAGGGGGCCTCAAGATCTAAGAGTTTATCATCTTTGGTTCTGGACGGGGTTGCACTACCCTAGACAGACCCGGTATGTAATCTGGGGGTCCTCCTAGACTCAAGACTCCTGTTCGAAGAGCAGGTAGCAGTTGTGGCTAGGAGGGCCTTTGGGCAACTTCGTATTTTGCATCAGCTACGCCCCTTCCTGGATCAGGAGGCTCTCCGCACCGTCACTCATGCTCTGGTCACCTCCCAGTT